AAAAACTTTTTTTTTTGGGTTTTTTTTTTCCCCCCCCCCCCCCGACCCCTTTTTGGTTTTCAAAAGCACTGTAGTTCTGGCTCTGAGACAAGATTTAAACTATAAGGATTTTCAGAGTTCATGGAAAGGTTTGTATTATCTTCTAATTCCATTTTGCTATGCACTTTTTGAAGTACCTTTGTATAATTTAATCACTGTGTACTTAACAGAAAGTTTCATTATTAATAATTAATTAAGTAGTGACTTTATACTTACATTAAAACGGTAAGTAAAATTTTGAGAAGCGTTGGCTGACCATTTAAATCAGCAATGATGTTTGGTAGAATTGGGATGTTAGAATAGGGAGAAATAAAGAAAGGTAACTCAGTGTAAGTGAATGAATTATTTGTCCCTACAGTTCCCTTTGAAATATGTAGTATTTTTATGGTTCTAAAAATTGACAGATTATGTGGGAATATTATTTTTGAAAATATAAGAACATTTTATTTTAGGAAATGTAAAGAACATGAAGAGAAATCACCAGCAGACAGGTAATAGGTCCAATAAAGAAAAATTATGTAAGACATTGTCTTCTTGAAACATTCTTAATGCGGATTTATTTTGTTTGTTTTTCTTAAGCCAGTTAATCACAGAAGTCATCCATTTAACAGTTTTTTTTTTCTTTTCTTTTTTTTCCTTTTTGTCTTTTTTATTTACCGGTAACGGGATCGTAACCCTCGGTGTCGCGCCCGTACCGGGGACCAGCAACGGAATCGCAACCCTCGGTGTTGCGCCCGCACTGCGCTCAGCCAGTGAGCGGGAACCGGTCTCCACATGGGATCCAAACCCTCGGCGGGAGCGCTGCCACGCTCCCAAGTGGAGCACTCTCCAATGCGCCACCGGGCCGGCCCCATTTAACAGTTTTTTTTTCCTTTTTTTTTTTTTTTTTTTGTCTTTTTTCGTGTCCAGCAACGGATCGCAACCCTCAGTGTCGCGCCCGTACCGGACCGGGACCGGCAACGGGATCGCAACCCTCGGTGTTGCGCCCGCACCTCGCTCAGCCAGTGAGCAGGCCCATTTAACAGTTTTGATGAATAGCACACTAGTAGCTCCCTAGCCTAGTGGTTAAAAACATAGGTTTTGGAATCATGTAGACCTGTTTTCAACGCGTAGCTCTCCCAACTTACCAGAAATATATCATCGAGCAAGTTATTTAAATTTTTTTAAACCTCAGTTAACCCGTTCTTAAATACAGATAATATTTATATCACAGTATTGTTTTGAGAATTAAAATGAAATAATGTATGTGAGTCTTTCCACAGTGCCTGGCACATAAGTGGTCACTATTAATGGTCGTAGTCATAATAATTACATATTACATATAGTTATGTTATAAATTAATTATAATTAATAATAAATAATGCAGTTTTAAAGAAAATCAAATATTGTATCTGTTATAAAAAGTATACCTCTAACCTTTGCAAATTATGTATGCATGTGTGTATTGTGTAAATCTCCCTCTGAACAGCACTGTGAAAAATCACTTGTTTCCTTTTTGAAAGAATAAACATGTGATTTATTTTACAACAGTTTTAGATCAAATGATATTGCCAATCTTTTGTGGTGACACTTTGGAAATAACAGTTTACAAAATAGGTTTGAGTGTATGCTGGCCATTTTTTATCAACTCCCGTAGAATAAAATGTAACTTCTGTCTTGATCTGACTTTGTGAATGACCTGCCAACTTCACTATTCAGTACCTATATTAACAAATCCTTTCTCTTTGCAGAGGAATTACTGCCATTTCAAAGACAAGTTTAGAATATTCCCAGAGATATTATTCTAACAATCTCAGATAATAATCCTAGATAATGATAAAGTAATAATCCTAGATAAGGAGTCTTTACTACAATGTTCAAAAGCTGTTTTTACACTCGAATTTTGGAGCTAATAGCTATCTGAGTTTTCTATAATGCAAAGTAACAGCTATATTTGATATCTGTAAATTGAAATTAATATTTATAGAAAATCAACCTTGATTTTATTGATTAAAACACCTTTCATCATTTATACTTAATTTCAGTTGTAAAACAGTGACCTCAATGAGCTATAGCAGTTCCAAAATAATTGCTGTAGGTGATACATTGCGGTGGAGGCAGGGGACGGATTAGGATTCTTGCTTCTTATCAAGAATACTTGATTTGAACTTTTTGTTTACTTTTTAATTACTTAATATAAGCTGCACATAATTGCAATCATAGTTGAGGAGTTAGAGACATAAATGGAATATTTCACATTTCATATCCATGAAGTTATTCTTTAAAATCTTATTTTAATAGAAAGACTTTGGATATAATACTTCAAGTTTCTAGTAATTAATTTATTTAGTACTGTCAATATTATTTATAATATTATTTCATTGTCTAATTTTTTTTTCCTTTTTGTCTTTTTTTACTGACCGGTAACGGGATCGCAACCCTCTGTGTCGTGCCCGTACCGGGGACCGGCAACGGGATCGCAACCCTCGGTGTTGCGCCTGCACCACGCTCAACCAGTGAGCGGGAACCGGTCTCCACATGGGATCTGAACCCTCGGCGGGAGCACCGCCACACTCCCAAGTGGCGCACTCTCCAGTGTGCCACCGGGCCGGCCCTTCATTGTCTAATTTTGATTTTTTTCTTTTAAGAAAATATGTGATAAGTTTAAAAGGATTTTCTTTATATATTTTCTTCTACAAATCTGTAGGTATGTAAAAATATGCATATTTAGTAAACATTTATTCATATTCTTAAATTTTTTGTTTAATTTCATTTTGCTAATTAAAGACAGAAAATTTTACTGTTTTGCTCTGAGTAATCACTGATAAACTAGCCAAGACTAGTATTAACATAGAAGATTTTCATTTGTGATTTCTTGGTAAGATTCCCTACAACCTTACCAAGGCCCACAACAGTACCTGACCTTCCTAGGTTTTTCTGGTCAGCTCACCTAGCCTCCACAGATCCTGTTTCTGACCTTCACCTTCCTCAACCCCTTTCTTCAGAGTCTTAGCAAAAGGCTTCCCCTCCTGATACCTGCAGAAAACAGAAGTCAGCTTAGAAACTCATTCAAATTCCTTCCACCAAACTTGTAAACTTAATTGTGTCAGCAACTGTTCTTTCCTCATCTGCTTTTATTTAAGTGGAAGAAATGTCGGGCCGGCCCGGTGGCGCACTGCTACAGTGCGTCACTTGGGAGCATGGCGGCGCTCCCGCCGAGGGTTCGGATCCCACATACAGACCGGTTGCCGCCCACTGGCTCAGCGAGGTGCGGGCCTGGCACCGGGGGGTGCGATCCCGTTGCCGGTCCCGGTCCGGTGTGGGCGCGCCACTGAGGGATGCGATCCGTTGCCGGACACGAAAAAAGACAAAAAGGAAAAAAAAAAAAAGTGGAAGAAATGTCTTCCTCTTACACCTCTTAGCAGTGTTTGACCTCATTGACTACTGCTTTCTTGAAATATCCGTGGAAGAAATATCTTCCTCTTACACCTCTTAGCAGTGTTTGACCTCATTGACTACTGCTTTCTTGAAATATCCCTTGGCTTTTGTGACACAGTGCTCTTTCTGGCATTCCTCGTTTGTGGAGGGTCGTCTTTGTCGTCTAAGTTAGGGTTCTTGATGATTGTCTGTCTCTTCTAATTTGTACGTTCCTTGGTAGATCTCAACAACTCCCATAGCTTCAGTTATCAATTACCTCAAATCTGTTTATCTTCTTAGATCTCTCTTTCCTGAGCTTCAGACATAACTGCCTTGTGGACCTAAACACTTGTATATCTCATAAGCACCTCAAATTCAGGATATCTAAACTTTTCCTGGACTCCTTTTTCAGTATCAGTATCCATCAAGGTGCCCCAG